ATGCGGACACTCATCAAGTCTGGGTGGCCGACCTAGCAGTAGCAATTCGGATAAGTCTTCGCTATCCGCAAGTTGAACATGAAGTCCTGCTTTCGACGCGACCTCAACACTTGCAAGGTTGGTCTTTCCGCAGGGCCTTGCGGTTGATGATCACAGGTGGTTCTGCGTCATGCGTCGATTGTCACTTACGGGGGATGGACGGCATGAGGGCATGACTCAACAGTTAGCAGGCAGCGCCTTTTCGTAGCTGATCCGAACAAAACAGGGCTGGCCGCTGTCTTATCAAGCTTGCAGGTTCATTTATGGCTTGAAGGCACAGAAAGTTTTTCTTGTCAAGGTGATGTATCAACTTTCCTCGAATGGAGACACGTCCAGCACTTACCGACCCATCACTCATATTGAGTGCTGTTTGCTTGCGCCGCTTCGGCATCTTGAAGGCTGTCAGTTGGAAGTCCGAAAGTGGTGGCATCAGGAGTACAGACTCGGGCAGGCTGCTTACACCTGAAATCCAGTAGGAACCGACGAAAGCCTTGCTTTTGAAGCATGCGGTGTAGAAAGAGGCCCTCAAATAAAAAGCAAGCGGAAGACGTATTGAGGCTGTGACGGTGGATGGTCTCGGCAATGTCGTGTTTTCTGACGAGCCAACAAATCGAATACTCAGAGCCGCGCACTGAAGTCTTTGTTGTCGCCATCAAGCTTGTGAGTGTTACAAGCGCTCGGGATGCGCAAGTCTGCCATGGTCCGGGCTCAAAGCTTATTCCATTGCACTGGAGATTGCTCCAAAGTGTTGATGCCCTTGCATGCCCCATGCTGGTGAAACTTGCCACGAAGCTTACGAGGAGGCTCCATGCCGCTCTGGACCTCAAATTTCAAGTCTCGGCCTGACGCTGGGCAGACATTTTCCTATGGATGCACTCTTCTAGTGGTTTGCGTTGATCACTCGTAGCTGTGTAGCTTATGCCGTGATTCTCGTTCGACGTGCTTTTCTGCCTGTCCGGGCATGGCCGCAGGCACGTCCCGAAGTGAATGTTCCAGCAAGCAGCACAACAGCAGCTGTGTTCTTCGAAAAGAGAAAAATGCAATTTTGCAATAGGGTCTGGTCGCTTTTGATGTTGGGATCTGTGCAAGCATGAATCTTGTGCGAATGCACCGGTTTCTACCAATGAAATCTTGCGTCCACAGCACCTGCCCTTGTGGTGGAGCCAGACACCAAGCGCTCGGTGTCAGCGTGTTGGCTTGCTGCAATGGTACGGCGAACACAGACACGGTGCAGGGCTCGAGGTATTGAATTCATGGAATGTCCGGGGCGATTTCTGAAATGTTTTCCGGGCCGGCGGGGCCCGGCAAGCCGGTGTTCAGTGAAAAACAGCATGAATGTTTGCATCGCACCTGGAACTGAAGCAAAGCGGGGCGGCGGTCGCTTTGCAGTTCTTTTAGCCCCAGGAAAGGCGACCGCGAAGTGCGGCGAACCTTACGACGTGCCCTCCGAGATGCGTGGCCAGCCATGCGCGAGTTTGGTTGGCGCCTCAGGCAGCTTTGTGAATTGGACCCTGCCGACGAGCACGTGGGCCGCTTGCTTGTGATTCGGAGCGAGATTTCGACAGGCTTTGGGGGTTCTGGTGTCGAGGATGGAAATTTTGGCTGCACCTGAGGTTACAACCACGAGGGGACGATCTTCCTGAAAGTGCGGGATCCGGAAAGACACAATGCGCTTCAGCCCTTGCTTTACCCGTACAGCTTCGTGTTGGCGACGCTGCTGCACGAGCTGACCCACCTATCCTACGAAGGCCATGGCAAGGCACAGGGAAGCCAACACCCAAAAATCATCATTCAGGTCAATCCTTTACAGATTTATGTTATACCTTCATTACTTTATTCAATTCATCACAGTGTTTCATCTCTTTCCAGCATTTTTGGAAGCCTGCAGGCCTTTTATAGACGTTTGGTGCTGGCCTCTGTCGCATGTGGGGCCGATGCAAGCATCCGACGAGAGGCGGGGCCCTGTGAAGCATCTCTGAGAACTGCAGAAGGTATGTTCGAGTCGCAGAAGCTGCATCGCTACTTGTAATGTTTACTTATATAAACCAACAAAGGCAGTCTGCAGCTCCAAACCACTCCACGAACAGAGTTGCAAGGTGTGCGCTGTTGGTCAGGCAGCGTTGAATTGGTTGGTCTTTTCGATCGAGTTCCATTGTACTTCTGCAATCCCAGCTTGTGGCAGTTTCATCGTGTTCAGTTTTGGGAATCAGGCGTCCTGCCTGGACCCTGTGACCCTGGCTCTATTCCGTGCAAAAATGAAGTAGGTAGACTTTGGAATTCGTTTAGCCTGAGCTTATTTTTCTCATTCTGCGCTGAACCTAAGTTCAGATCAGCCCCCGGCGCTGTTCGTCACTTTCCTAGCGTCAGTGTCAGAGAAGGCTTAATTCGCAGATCCAACACGCATCCACCTTGCGTCAATTTCGATCCCTTGCAAGGTTCACATTCATGTCTGCTCCGAGCTGTTGAATGCCGTCTGTGAGAACGATGCCCACCGTGCACGAGCATTGCTGGCAGTCTTGCCCGAGGCGGCGCATGCTAGGGCTTATTGCGGGCGCTCACAAATGCTTTTGCAGGTTGGGATGCGCCCATATGGCCAAGTACTTGTCGAGTATGATCCTACGACGATTTGTACATTTTGTATGCATGCATCCGTCGTGGTAAATAAATCCTGGAAGTACAGAGCGGACGAGTCATCAGAATGCGGTTGTCCATTGAGAGAACCAACAGTGTTTGTTGATGCAGGCAGCCAGTTGCCGGCCGTTGAATGGAGGGCAGTTCCCACTCGAGTACGCAGCACATCATGGTCGAGTGGCTTTGACAAAGCTGCTCTTGCAGGTTCCGAAATGTGCCGTTTACCGTCTGCAGCTTCTAGCGGCTTCCAGTGCTAGTGCGCATCGACAGGCAAGGGCCGATCCCAACGTTTACGGGCAGAAGGCCGTGATTTGGTAGTTGAAAAGGTGGCCTCCGGCATTTCGAGTTGTTCTTATTGGGATGGCAATACTTACGGGGGTGACAGTCTTTAACATTGGAGCACCCAAAGACTTATTGAGGATTTAGAAAACTCGAACTGCAAATCTGGTGGACCCGAAACCCTGCACGGCGTCGGTCGACAAGCTGGAAAAGCCGGGAAAGGGAAACGCAACATGTAAAAGCGAACGATCCGGGCTCGCGATCCGGACCGCGGGATGTGCCACACATCCCAGATTAACATGTGGTTGTCTAGCCCTACAAAAGTGAAGCTTGCTATCAGGTTGGGATGCCCCCACTGGCACGTGCCGCTGCACAGGGCAACGTGAAGGTGCGGTAGCCTGCGTTATAGAAGTTGTAAAAAGTGTGAAGGAAGGTGGATAAGCTTGCTGACAATCGTCGCCTCTGTCACTGGTGCAGACTGTCCGCCTGCTGCTACAAGCCGGCGCTCGTGGGTCTACGTGGCTTCCACCGGAGTTGCAGCGAACGCAACGCAGCAAATCCAGCGACTATTTGGAGAAGGAGGCCGGTGAGAGGAGAGTCATGCTCTGCAGTCCACACGCACCTTTGCACCTCAAAACCCAAGCCTGGTTCCGATTCACTGAGAGGTATGCCGAACATTCTCGCTCCCGGACTTGGCTGGCAGGGGAGGTCACGCAAGGAAACTGGCTCTTGGCGGGGCTGGATCCCTCGCCTTGTGAATTACGCCATAAAATCATGACATGGGAGCGCCTTATCAATTCGGAGGCCCAGCAAAAGCTGTGCAGCCTGCACTGCGTCATGCATGTGAAATTATCATGCTGCACGCTCTCGGTCTCACTCAGTTTTTTTGGATGCACGCATCAGGCACCATGCTAAAAGGACTCACGTATTCAAATCTTGGCTCGATCGTCTGAGGTTTCTGCAGCGAGCATTGACGAGGGCAAGACAGCCCCTGAGCTCGCTGCCTTAACGAACACATTTTTTGCACGTAACGCGGCTAGGGCCTAGGGCCTCGGGCATCTGTGTGCAAAGTCAAGTTCGCTGTGTAAGTGACGCACAGTCTGCTATACATGGTCGTGCATCGCCACATCAGTGGCTTCCTGAAGCTAAATCTGCATGGAACTGTCCAATGCCCGCAGCCACCACTCGTTGTCGTCACGGCTTTGCAGGGCCGACACAGCTCGATTTGCTGAAAACCGCCAGGGTCATCTACGATGGCAACACGGTGTCCCATTTGAAAGCGCCGGGAGGCCGACGAATAGTTCGGACAAGTGAAATTGCACGGACCCTGGTGCATTGCAGGAGTTGCCATGGACAACTATTTCGTCTATTGGCTGAACAAAGCAGGTGCTCCGAAGGCTCCAGCTCCGCACGACACACCTGCTAAGCTGGCTCGCATGGTCGCAGAGCGCACTTTGTACGGTGTTGTGCATCTAAAATCAGCACTTGCCACACCTCGCCTTTGAGATGGAAGTGTGCTGTGCGTAACTCTGGATGCAGTGGTACATGCTCATCGTAGGTCCGTTCCAAACGAAACCCAAAGGCTCAGGCATCCGGCCAGCCAGACAGGCTTGAAGGCCTACTTCATTGTCTGACTGCAAGCTCAGAACAGTGCGACAGACAAAGCAACTGCATTCAGCTAGAAGCTCCAAACGAAACTGACGGCAGAATATCTGATGTAATCTCAGAGCCGTGTCCAGTCCGTGTCCCGCATCGAGATTGCATTTGCTTTCCTTGCGTCCTTTATCAGCGCCAGGCGGGTACCCTGATAAGAGGTCTGCAATATGCCACGGTCTGCAGCTCGAGGGTGGATAGCATGCTGCCTGCAGCGTTCACAGCCATTGCCCAAATTGTATCTGCCTCAGATATACACGAGGCCGAGACTATCCAGAATGCTTCAGCCGGAGTCAAGGACCGCTACTAAAAACTTGCGGAGCCTGTATTGGTTGTGAGTTGTGTAGGTATTTTTTTCTGATGAATGCTTTGTGCATGTCATCTGTACTTTGCAATTCGTAGCGCATGTTCCTGGCAGCTGCTGGCCGGCAACGCTCCCAAGTGCTATGGCGTCTGTCTTGCCGGAGGCATCGTGTGAGGGAATGACTGAATTACTGAATCTGAGAACACCTGAAGTGTCCAGCAAAAACAGCAGACACGGACACCAGCTGAGGTAGCTCGCCGCATGTGCACCTCGCACGCACGTTTACGTGTCCAGTGACACACGATTTCGGCGCCAGCTATGGCAAACGACTTCCTTGCGATCCTAAGTCCTAAGTCCATCGTGCATCGTTAGACACAGCAGTTTTGCATGCACCAAGGGCGTTGCGCCAACAAAATGTTAGTTCCGGACGGGAAGGTTAAGACAACAAGGACAGATTGGCACCGATGGCTTGCGGGAAAGGAACTCGAAGGAATAGGTGACTGATCTGTGTTCGCTGACGCTTGACAGCAGTGCATGTGTGGGAGCGTGCATGGCTTGGACAGGGAATATCTTCTACACGGATGAAGCATCTCATTTGAGCGGTTCTTAGCAAACGAAGTCTGGCTGGTTCATGTTCAAATCCTCGCTGCTTGCGCCGAGGTACGGCATCAACCGGGCTTCAACGTCACGACACGTCGTGCGAACTATCTCTTCCAGCCTGCAGGACTAGACATTGCAAACGGTGCGGGCAATCCGCATTATCAAGCAGATGCAGCAGTTGGCTTTAACGGAAGGCGCCTCGCGGGTGCGTGTCTGATGGTGCCGGCACAGTCTATGCCTGCTGCTCAGACGCCACAAGAATCCACAAATTTTGCAGACATGCCAAACTCTTGGTGCTGAGGTCGCGGACAAGTCACAGAATGCAGTTTTCCGTTTCCCTTCGAACATGGATGACCTCATGCCGAGAGCCATGGTGAAGGCAGGAAATCATCAACGAACGAGGCTCAAATCGAAGGCTGTACAACACCTGTGTTTGAGGGCCGGTGAATGTTCTCTGTCACGCCTGGGGTTTGGGGTGCGGGTTCACCGGTCTAGCCGCTTCTCGACGCCGTGTTGACTCCAGCGTGCAACGGGTAATGCTGCCACATCATGGCAAGGGGGCCCACCTTCAACAGGTCGAGAAGATGAGAAAATCGGAGCCTTACTTGCAGATTTTCCTTCTAGTAGATGAACATGACAGTCAAACCGATCACACCGAACTTCGATTCACGTGGCTCGAGTGAACCTGCAGCGGTAGTGTACGGCTGCTACAGCACAAGTTGAACTCAAAGCTCGATGGACGTGTTACATGTTCGCAGCATACTATGTCGGAAACGGAATTAATCGCCACATACCGCCATCGAGTTTCACTGGATGCCCAGCATTGCGTCGCAGTACTTTGCATGCGATTCCCGGCTCTTGGGCCTTGGGTGTCGATTCGGAGGCTGCAGACCTGCAGGGAGCCTTCGGGCTGGCCATTCACGATGTGGTCGGCGCACTTAGAAGTGAGTTCCGAAAGCTTCACCCTTTTTCAGTGCACCTTCGCAGGGCTACCAGGCACCTGGAATTCTGCGATGAGCGTGCAATGAGCCTGCGATGCGCGCCTGAGTGCTTTACCTTGACGGCGCTCGACAAAACTTTCCTCGTCAGAGCGGTAGTGGTCCGCGGTCCACGCATGTCCACGCTATGCCATGCCCTCTGCTCGTTTGCCACCTTGCATGCGGCATTTCGTTCCGATGCAGACATGTGACGTTGCAACATGAGCCGACGTAGACAGAGTCAAAGCAAACTGGCAAGCCAGGACAGTGTCAGGATTCGGCTGGAACACCATGCTTAGCTAGCGCCCTCACGTCAAGCCTGTGACAGCGTGGAAGTGACTCCAGATGGCAGTGGGCTCAGAAGTTAGTGGAAATTATCTGCAGGCGTTCAATTGTTCCGCTCGCTCGTCTTGGGTCATTTCATTGGCTCATCCCTGCCACTGTCACTTACTGTCTCTGTCTCCCTCTTTCTCTTCTTGCCTTCTATTCGTGCTTATTGCGTTTTCTCCTCCTTCGTGTGCTGTTGTTTCGATCCCTCTTCACCTTTTAGTTTCTCCTGTCTCCTTCCCCTCCTCCCTCTTGCTGTCTTGCTTCGTTGCTCTCTATTTCTCTCTGTCTATCTGCCTGTCTCTTTAATTCTCTTTCCCTCTTTCTCCCTGCCTGTCCACGCACGATTCATGGACAGCACTGCGAGTCACCAGATGACCTGTTGTATCTTCAGCGCAGGCACAGAAACAGCTAATTTGACGCCGCAGCATGATGTCCGAAACACTTGCTGCCGAACACTTCCGCATAAGCCATTTCTGGAGATGTTTCTCCAGACTGGATCCAGAAGTTTTGCGGCAGGACGTAATGCGAAGAATAGTCGACCCAGAAACCTTTGTTCTCCTCTTGCAACGTAAGTTCATCTGTACTTCTGGTCTGCTTCGCTATCGCTGTCTCTCGCTCTCTCTCTTCCCTTGTTTGTGTCTGTCTGTCTATCTACCTATCTGCCAAACTCCCTCTCCTTCCCGCCCTCCCGCAGTCTTCCACCGATCAGCGGTGCTACTAATCTCTTGCTCGTTTTGAGTTTGCATGCTGGCCCGCTTTGAGTGCTTGCAGCTTGGTTTGCGGAACTGTGCCGGGAACCCGGAATAGGTCCAGCGCTGCATCTCCACGAGAAGCATTCCCTGACGGGAATTTTACCGACACACACAAACACACACACACACGCATGCATGTCCTGCTTGTTGCTGTCGTTCTGTGCAGCCTCTTCGCTTTTTCACCGCTCTTGCACCTCCATCCGTCATTGTCAGTTCTCTCAATCCTTTTTCGAGCCTATGCACCACAGAGTCCCTGCATTGCGTTTTGTGGTTGCTCTCCCACGACCTTGCGCGATCTCGTCCACTCTCGGGTCACTCTATGTTAGCTCCTGTTGGCTCGTCTTGCCCCCTGCGGGCCCTGCCTACCGCTCATGGACTCCTGGCCATTGGCACCTTGCCCGAGGCGCCTGTTGGCGGCATTCGCAGCCAGACAGCCCAACACCTAGCATTGCCGACTCATAGCCGAGGGCCGAGGGGCTCGCTAAGCACAGGCGCGAACCTGTGTGGCACAAGTCTTCGGCACGTCTGAGGCATTGTGTTTCGAGGCTTCGCTTGCTTGTAGCAGCCCCAGCATGTATCTCGACAGCCAGGAGATTGAGATCCCGGTCACCATCAGCACACGAGCCATGACCTCAAGTGTGTTGCCACATTTGGCTACTGACCATGATTCAACCCTGATAGTAGCCTCGTAGTTTTGCCAAAGCCGCTGCAGTGGCACATCGAGCGAACCAGCCGACGTAGTTCTTCCAGCCGCAAACGTTATCCTGCAATCAGAGTTTGCACATTCTTTTTCATGTGTCGTTGCCTCACGCTTGGCAAATGCTTGCTTGGCATGCGCATGGCTGTTTGTGTTTTGGTCGAAAGGGGGTTAGGGTACTGTAATTTCTTCATGTTGCAGATTCCCGAACACGGCAGGACATGTCCACTGTGAACTCAAAGAGAACGACAGCTGCTTCCTGAGGCTGCACGGCCACCAGTATGTAAAATAACGTGACACGATGATTTGGGAGAATTTGATCCCCCAACCTCGCGTAAATCCTGACAGTGTTGTTTTGTGCAGGCCAGTGTTTCGGCAGTTGCTTGTCAGTCTCATACCAACGGGGGCTACAAAGCGCGCTCCTTGTAGGTATGTTCTGGTTGGGAGTGGTCTTGTCGCGCCTTGCAGTACTGGAAGGTTTTGTGAATTGTTTCTTTCTGTTGTCCGGTCTTGCTGTATTGCTTTATGTATGTCTTTTGTTATTTCTTCATTTGTTTCGTTATGTCTTTATCGTCGAATCTGTATTTCATGTTTCTGTCTTTCTTCTGCTTGTCTTTTTCCTCTGTTCGCTCATTGGGTGATTTCCCTCTAAGCACCATGCATGAAGTGCGCAGGGAAAGAGCTCCATTAGCCAAGAATGCTAAAGAACCCGCATTCACGAGCACACCATGAGCTGTGCTGCCAACATGGTCGCTTAGATTTTGGTTTGTCAGGTGCAACCGCCCGGGGAAAACAGAACCCGCCCTGTCCGGAACAGTTAAACCGTGTACAAGCTCGAGTAAATCTGGGACCAACTGAAATTTGTCTCGGAGATCAAGGTCCCAACAAAAAGGAACAATTTCAGATTCCATCAGGAACGATGATGAGAGCAGAAAGGCTGTGCATACTAGTCAAAATAAGACCTTACAGCTTTAGTTTGTGTTTATAACAACCTGTATCAGATTGCAAGAAAGCCATGCCAAGCCAAACTCTTTGCAAAACTGGCCCGCGACGCTCAGTAGCATAGCTGCTCCACAGAAAACATGCCAAGAGGGTGCACGCTGGTTTGCTATCCGGATCAGGCAGTGAGGCATAGTGCTGCCAGTGCTGCAAGGCGTGACCTAAAAATAACAGAAAACCACTCTTAGTTCCATCAGGAACGGTGGTGAGAGCAGGAAGGTTCTACATACTAGTCACGAGTCAAAATATAGCTGTACAACTCTAGTTTTGTTTATGAGAAAAGCAGTTTAAGGTTGCATTAAACTACCTACACACAGGTGTAGTGTCTATGGTACTGTATAATGCAGCAGAGCCTCATACGCTTGAGTTTTCTGCATTGGATTATATTTTACCGTACTAGGTTATGCTACGACATGTCAATCTGTATTATTCTACAAGATACATCATACGAAAGCAATATCACACTATGCATGGCTACATCACATTGCTGTGTATACTTGATCTGGTAACGTGCTATATCAAAATCATTCAGGCTGCATCCCCGCAACGATGATGAGGGCGTCAAGACGGTGCATTCAAAGCGTCCTTCGTTGTTTTGTCGTTTAAGGACTTTTTGGATTCACGATGAAAAAGGCAATCCCCCCACGACGCCTCGGCTCCTTCAAGTGCGGCGTTTGACGCCAGGGAGCCTTCCCACTCCGTCGACTTGTCCTCGCCACCTGTTTCATGCCGCCGTCGTCAGGCACCTTCCATAGACCTGACCCGCCGATCGTTTCGCTGTGCTCCCGTCGCCTTCGTCGTCTTTGAGGAGGCGGGCCTCGCGAGGTTCCTTGGGCATGCGGGGTGGAGCACCCTGTCTACTTAGCGTCACCGGCACCGGGGCGACGCTCCTGGCGGCCACGTACAGCTTTGGCGGATGCGGCCAGTCGGGTCTGGTGGCGGGGGTTTTGTCGGTGGCAGCACCGGGCAGGAGATTGGGGATTGTGGGGCAGGATAGGAAGCACGGGGTTGCTGATGAATTCCTGCTGTGTTGCCTTGCTCGGGCGGGATTCGCGACTCTGAGGTCAGGCCCCGGAGTTTTATCCTCGGGACCCTGGGCTGGGGCAGAGTTAAATCAGACAACTTGGGGAGATTGTGAGACGACCAGTGAGGTGCAGCCAAAAAAAGTGTCCATCGCCAAGCTCGTGTTGTTGAAGCCCGTCACATGTGCTCGTAGCACCCCCCGCACTCTCTAAATTCAAGCTGTATGCAGAGGTGTACTGAGGGGTTGTTCCACAGAGTTTTATCTGCCACAGCCGTGGATTTGTCAATGGAATTGTCTATGTGTTCTCGGAATGCGGATCTCTGAACATTGGGGTCAGGCCGGAATTTTATCTACAGATCTGCTGGCTCTGAACCTTAGGCCCCAGAAATTCATCCGGATAAAACTCCGCACTGACCCTGAGCCCTAGAACGAACCCCTATCTAGTACTAGTACTAGTACTAGTACGCCAACCACCACCAATTTTTGTAAATGTTATTTAATTACGGCTATGACTACAACTATTTTCCTGTCCTTTTTCATACATGTTAAGTTTTGCCGTCCAAAACGGGAACCTCCATACCGCCCGAAACATTACACAACCTCCAAACCCCCCGCACCCCCCTCACCTCCCCAAGCCCCCTCAGCACCCCACCACTGCCAACAAAAATAACAAGGGCCAACAAAAACATAACGAGCCAAGAACAATTCTCCACCTATGTGTGGGTGGTGCCAGTCGTGCAAGCACCCTGCACGAAAAAGTTCAGACATTTGGCCTTTAGCCTCGGTATAGCCTTTCCTTGTTCAGTTTCAACCTGGGATTCCGATTGCTTGTTATTGCTTATGGTGAATTGTGCCTTCTTGCGGTCCGTGCATCGTGCTACTGTTTTGAAACATAGTCTAGGCAAACTTTGTCATCAATTTTACTTGCTTCCCTTAAGGATGTCAAAATCACCAACTCTGGAAAAATCAGGGCATGAGCTCTTGTGCCATGCCGACCCGACCAACGCCGTCTGTGCATTGACTTGCTTGGCTTGACTGAGACTCTCGTGGTCAAGGAGCTGATCTCACAAAAGCTTTCAGCCCAGTGGGTGCGTCAGCACATTCAGGTGAGAGTTTGGAGCTCTTGAGGACGGGCGTCCATGTGGACGACCTTAAGATCATGGCCAAAGAAGGGTCCTTCATGAGGATGCTCAAGAACTCGGATGAGGCGGGTGAGACGGCGTGAAGCCATCAACCTGAGAAGAAGGAACATGTCCACCCTCCATTAAGCCCGACACTGCAGCGCAGGTGCGCTCCAGAGTTTTTGTGAAAGGCACGGACGAGAGTGCGGCTCGCGTCTTTCTAGGCCAGCATACCCTGCAGGTGTTGAGAGCTTTTCGAGGAAGAAGCAATCGCTCTGCGCTCAGCACAGATCAGCGCAGCCGGCACCAGCAATCCGCTAAAAGTGGATGTGGCCGCTGCCAGCAAGCTCGCCGCATGTAAGGGTTGCGTTTCGCACAAAACCGCAAGCTGTTTCACTGAACCACTGAGAATCTGGGAGCAACATGGGTCATGGATCCTTCCCATGTGAAGACGTGGCATAAGAAGGTATCAGCATCCTCATGGAATTATCGGAGCTGGTCACAACGGTCTGCGCCAGGCCTAGTTACCGCATGCCTTTTTGTCGGCTGTGCCATATATGGATATGTACGGGTTCTTTGCCAGGCGCTTGTCTTTGCGGAGCATAAAGACACCAACTTCGTTCTTTTCGATCGTCATAACAGGCAGCTTCTCAGTCACTCGAATGTGAAGCGTGTTGTGTTCAAGAGTGCATCATGGCTGGGCAGCATATTGTTTCCAGTTTTTTTGAAGCGGACGAGTGCCGGCTGAGACTTGCAGGGGGTCGGTGGGGACGTGGATACACATTCTGCTGGGAGAGATGGCGGGGACTTTGATGTGCTTCGGGGACCTGCGTTGTTCAGGAATGACCAGCAAAGGAACTGGACCCGAAACTACGAACGGTAGCTTGACTAGTTGGAGCTGAAGCAGGGCTTCGCTTCCGCCTGGCACAAGTTTGGAAAGGTATTGCCAGAACAAGAGACAAGACCTGTCATCTTTAGCTTCGAATCACTTGGCCGGCGTTTCTCGAGCGTCCCTGCCCATTGTAGAGCTTGGCGCCAACTTGGTGCGTGGGATCCCTGTCTCAAGCGAGTCTTGCTGTGAGCTGTGAAAGCATTCGGGCAGTTGGTTAGACAGTTTTTCGCCGTCGTTTCGCGAGTAAACATCGAGACACAAACCCCTGTTTCATCTGTATGGTGCTACGCGCCGACTCAGCACTCCCTGCAGCATGCAGGATTGGTGGCACTTCCTGGCTCGACCATGCGAACAAATTCTCCAAGGACTCAGTTGATGTAGTAATGAAGTCACACAATAGAAACGATCCACAAAAGGCTCAAGTGATTTGTGAGGAACTATACATGCAGCTGCTGTGGCCATGCATGTCGTGTCCGTTTGCGCAGGTTCAGACCGAGCTTGGAACTTATCATTTGAACTACTCCGACCAGTGTGAGTGTCCCAAGGCATGGCGATCGGACGGCATGCAGTTTCAATTCTGTCGTGCATTCACAGTGACAGCGCAAGGGCATGTCCCCTTGGCCCAGTAGGTTTGCCGCTCAGTGACCGACAAGCCACAACACGTCAAATCGCCAAGAAGTTTGACCGGCTTGCTCAGGGACGAACTTTTGAAGCATTTCGAGGAGGCTCTTTGCGACGAGTGCACTCTAGATGCTTGTAGTAGTGATCGTGCAGTCAGCAGCAGAGGCTCCGGACATCCATGGGGTGTACAAAGGAGCTAGACTCACAGTGGGGTTTTCTGTATTTGAGTCGTTCTTGGTCACAAGGCGACAATTAAGTGTTGACAGCCCGTGCCTTCTGTGCTTTTCACATCAAGCGAGAAATGGCGGAAAACATTCCAGCAGGACGTTTCTCATGGTGCTATTGACGGTGCTCCCCCTGGGCCTAGCACTCTCTTTGGGGCAGAATTTTTTTTTGGAAAGGTGTGGACCCGGGCGGCGGCACCAAGGGCTCTCGCCCGATGAGCACCCCCTTTGCCCACCTCCCCTTGTGCTAGGGCGACAGTGCCCTCTAGTATTCTGGCTTAACTGCTGTTGCAACTGATTCGACGATGCCGACGTCTCCACCCATCATGGGCCTGAGGACATCCAGTGTGTATTTCAGGTATTCCACGCTCATCATAGCTCCCTGGATTGCTGCCTTTGTTATCGGCTTTGTTCCAGGGCTGCGCCTCTGTGCTGTTCATTGCCGCCGTAGTGTGTATGTTTATTTACTGTACCTAATTGGTGGCGGGCTCGCCCTCGGTGCTGGAACAGTGTTCCTTCAGCACATGGCGCACGCTTTTTGGTCGCCTTGTGTGTGCCCTCTGTGCATGGAGCCTCGCTCCCTCGGCACTGGCCGCACGGTTCGCCCCCCTTGCAGCTCTTTGCGTCTGCTGCCGTTACTTGGTGTGTTCTTTGGCGCATACAAGCATAAGTATTATCGGTTGGTGACGTCTGGCTTGGCCTCCTTCCTGCTTTATCCCTGATCAAGGACGATGACTCTCCGATTCTTGGGTTTGAAACATGTGTTTTGGTATTCTACACCGTGACCTGTCTGCACTAGCTAGTTTTTCCCCCACTTGAGCTCTGGGACGGAGGGGGGCGATGACGCTTGCGGAGCCCCCCTGAGATGTTGAGAGGGACGTGCGAGGTAGGCCGCACCGTAAGTGCTGGTCGACACTCACTCACTCACTCACTATTCACGGTGCTAGGAAATCGTTTTTAGGTTGGACGATGTTGGTGTCGCCGTGCATGCAAACCGTGCCGAACAGTGACTGGGCGTTTGTCCAGAACCGCGTGTGAGACACATTGCTACACTTTTCCATGTCACGCGCCGGGTTTGTGGGATGTACAAGATTATGCAAGCATTTGCCAAGTGCAGTACGTGCTGCTACCAGTTGACCTACGACGTCACTGCACGTGGCCTCTGTGTGTGTATGTGCGTGCGTGTGTGTGTGTGTGTGTGTGTGTGTGTGAGTGTGTGTGTGTGTGTGTGCGTGTGTGGGAGGGTCAAGGGGTAGCGGGCTGGCCGGGCGTTCAGACAGCAGGCATTGGCTCCCCCTCTGCATCCCCACTTCCTTCCATCCCCTTTCTGAATCTTCTGAATTATGTGTCTGAGCGCTATTGGAACAAATCGGCTGTGTTGTTTCCCGTGTACCCGATCTGCACGTGTCGAAGGTTTGGCCCAATGCATATTGCCCACTCAACTGCAAGCCGGGAATCGCCATTTGCTGCCCGCCTTGGGCCTATCGTGTGCCTTTAGACAGAGAGAGAGAGAGAGAGAGAGAGAGCGAGAGAGAGAGAGAGAGAGATAGAGAGAGAGAGGGAGCGGACTCTGCCCCAGCAGCCAGCGAGCGAGCGAGAGACAGAGAGACAGAGAGCGATAGCCTTACGATGAATTATGCTCGTTCTTCACTCCCCTGCACCGTACCAACAAGGTACGAGTGAGGGGGTTTTGATGCCCAGGGGACTTGATCGTCTCCCATGCCAGGGAGGGAGAGAGAGAGAGAGAGAGAGAGAGAGAGAAAGAGACGGGCAGCCCACGCGGGGGCTTGCCCTCATGCCTGGTGAAAGAAAAGAAATAGACAGAGAGTATCAGAGAGTGCGAGAAAGAGAGAGAGTTAGAGAGAGAGAGACAGAGAGACAGAGAGACAGAGAGACAGAGAGACAGAGAGACAGAGAGACAGAGAGACAGAGAGACAGAGAGACAGAGAGACAGAGACACAGAGAGACAGAGAGACAGAGAGACAGAGAGACAGAGAGACAGAGAGACAGAGAGACAGAGAGACAGAGAGACAGCGAGACAGCGAGACAGAGAGACAGAGAGACAGAGAGAGCAAGAGACAGAGAGACAGAGAGACAGAGAGACAGAGAGACAGAGAGACAGAGCGAGAGAGAGAGAGAGAGAGCCGAACTTCGGTGCGAGCTCGCGCGGGGGGAGTGCACCTGCACTGCCCTTGTCCGCATGCAATTCAGAGAGAGAGAGGCCGTTTTGGCACAAGTCATCCGCGGCGTCTTCCTGTCGGGACCCTCTGGGATTAGGAGAGGGTGATCATGGGTGATCTCTCCGTCTCCGAGAAGTGGACGTCTACCTCAATGGGGTGGCTTGAGACCATCGGCCTACTGCGATTTGTAGCTCAGGCATCGCCCCGAAACTAGGTGCCTTCGCCGCGCCGCCATCGTCCCCACAGGCAAGTTCGTAGCTCTTTGCGTGCTCATCGCAGGGCATCCGCAGGGAGTACGGCAAGATCGAAGCTGCAGGTGATCCTCGCACCGTAACAATGAAAAGAACAGATCAGCAAGAAGGAGAAGTGTGCATCCGAAAGAGGAGCGAGCCATCATGGGACATCGAAGAGAAGCTCCGCGTTGCGTATTACATATTTCACGGCAGCAGTAGCATGAACGGGGGCGAAGCTGTAGCCTGTACCTGAAACAACAAAAAGGGGGCAGTGAACACGCGGGGACCACGGTGGACGAGGACAACACCGAGCAGCATGCCGCCGACACTTGCACACAAAGACCAGGAAGCACAAGCAGCACAAGAACAAGCACAAAAAAGACGAGAAAACCAAAGCTCGTCATGATAGCTTGCTTACACGTGTGTCCTTGACCAGACAGAACTGCCCTTTGGCCAGCTTCAGTTCTGTGCAGGTGTGTGATGCCTGGGGCCTGAGGGCACACTTCAGACTCGGCACGGATGTGTTAAGGCAGGCCGTGCCAGAAGCAGTCATTTCCGCGCTTCGAGTCTCAGTTTCATCACTTGACTATTTCAGGTACGCGGTCGCGAATGATGGGAATGATCAAAGCTACAGGCTCTCACTGCGCCGCGACAAGGAGGCGACACAGAGCTGACAGAGCCCAGAGCAGAGCGGTGAGGGACGAGTCCTTTTGCCACGGTGCCCAAAAGTAGGGCCCAGGCTTAGGGATTGCTACGACTGTTACATTGACAGGAGTCCGAAGTGATGGCTTGCTCCCCGGGGCCAGACCGAAGGTTGATCCGAGCGATGTTCGAAGTGCCATGAAGTGCCCTTAAGGTGTCCAGCTTCGTCATTTATCCGGGCAATCTAACGAATCCCCGAAGAGAGGTCTGGGCCTGGGGCCCGCGGTGATTCTTATGAAGACAAGTGGCGAGACAGGGCTTTGGCAGAACCTGGAGCCAGGACTACAAGGGGGAGGACGTCTTTGGAGTCCTGGCTTCAGTAGATTTTGACACTCCGAAGCGGAAAGTTTCCCAACTCCAGGGTCCGATCTCCTACGGCATGTTCGACGAGACGGACTACGATGCCCTCACCGGCAAGCGCGCCACGGCCTCGTGATGTTTCATGCGAGCAAGCGACAGAAGACCGGTTTCCTTCTTGCTCCCAGGTCGCCATCGTGGGCTTTGGTGCTTTTGCCGTGGAGAACATTCGCACATGCATGGAGCTTAACTAAATCGCTGTAGTGACAAGATCTCTGCCAACAGCATAGGTTGCGAGCACCGCGTTGACAAGATCTTTCTCGTCTGTCGGAGGTGGCCAAAAGGTTGAGCGAAGCATTGGCTCGGCTTTTTCAGGGCTTGCCAGTTTGAGGAAAAACCTCTGCATGCCGCGAATGGTGTCGTGTGAAGCTCGGAAGGTTCTTTGCAATATTGCGACGCTCTGCACCTCAGCCTCAGGTGGTGGATCAACGGCTCCGCTTTTCCCGTTTCTTCAGCAGACGTCCTTCGCGAAATGGAGGTCGGCATGACTCCACTAACACCTTACCAAGCTTCTTCTGGCCTGCTAAGATAGCTCCGTACACCGTACAGTCAAGGTGCTGGATGTGAAAGCCAAGAATCCGTCCGCAAACTTAAGTACTCATGATAGCGCACTCTGCGGGACAGTCTGCGGGACATTGCCAATTCAGTGGTCAGTTCGGGATAACCCACGGCAGATCCTGATCCAGGCCGCACTTAGCCTTAGCATTAGCCCGAGCCTGAGACCATGTGAGGACCTTACCGGAGACTGGGGCGACTAACGGCGACTAGGGGTCATTGCAGAACGCTCATCATCAGTTGCCAGGTTATTCCATCCAGTGCAAGGCATTTGTGGCATGTGTTCACTTCTTGCTCCGCTGCCCTTTGCTGCATCATGTTGGCTTGGAAAGTTCTGGTATTCTTAACGGCAAGTTCCACCCTAACAACACTTAAGTAATGACGTCCTCTGAGATCTGGTCGTATTGATGCCGACATGCAACTGTTATCCGGATGGCTGGAAGTTCATGCGATCATTACATAATTACATCTCGTGGTCCAAAGACAGGCCGCATGATGCTGCGTGCTTGTCAAGACATAGTTCTTGTCCGCGTTGAGGTTTCCAAGTCCAACACTCCACCCGAAATTCAAATGCAGCGAATTCAGCACATTCAGCGTATTGGCAGGAACCGTTAATATCAAGAAGTGTATCTGCTTCATGAATCTTGAATCCCTTACTTGGACCCTGTCCTGAGTCACTATGTCTGCCTAGTAACAGGGGTGATGGGGCTGAAAATGGGGAGTATGAAGGATCGTGGGTAAACTTAAGTACTAAGTCCAAAGATCAACCATGCCGCCCAAGCTACCAGACGCGAAGTCGAAGCCAGAATTCCTACCTCATGTCATCCTGATGAGAGGCAATCCAGAGCACCATTGCTTCGTTAGGATGACAAGTCCAGGCAAGTCTCATGGGCCTGACAGGAGACATTTTGCCACGCTTCGTGAATCGAGGGCGAGCAAACCTGGATGCAATTGCCAAGCTGCCTGCCTGCCGCTTTCAAAATCTTCGTCGACCCCGTCTGCCAAGCAACTTCAAGGGCCTGGTGCTCATGTTGCACGGATTGGCTTGCAGCAGTCTTGCTGTTGCCGGCACCGTTGATGGGTCCCGTTGACCGTCACGGCAGTGCACATCTGGCCTTTGAATTTCGCTGGCCACTGTTTTGGGCAGCATTTTTTGCGGTAATGTGTGATCTGATGCTGGATGCATATGCCGCATGCCAATCCAAGAGGATTCCAGCCATTTGCCAGCGCTTGCCCAAGTCGCAGGTATTCTGGCAGGCAACAAAATCTGGGTTCTTCTTGCTCCACAAGATGGACAGGCTAGACCTTCCCAGCTTTGTGCAAGTGCTGGGTTCACTGACCTTGGCTTGCATTGGGGGCGTTTTGGCTGTCAGTGGACGTGGGGACCTTCAAGGACAAGGACAGTTCTTGTGGAGACAAACCTGGGAGTTCATGACCCGGCGTCGCAACATGGCCCACTGGCTGCTGCACCTTCCGGCAAGTATCTTCACGCAGTCACCGTCACGAGCAGTGACAGGTTCATGGTGAGGGCCTAGCAGCATATACGCAGTTCCTGCAATATCTGTCGCAAGTCAGAGAACATGAATGGGATCAGCTATGAAAGCTTTCCAAGTGTCTCGGTCTCGAGTATATAGTGGCATACAAACTTCTGGCTTTCAGTGTAGCCTATTCCAGAACAGTTGCCACCGTATATCTGATCTGTGCAGCCCATACAGGCTTAGGGGTTTGGGATTTAGGGTGGCTGGGATTGTAGTGCATACACAGGGGTATAGATGGGGATTCGCCTGCTCTGGGGAATGCTGATTCCCTGCTTCCAGTGTCTCCACTTCGCTTGATATGGACTTGTTTCATTGCTCAAATCAGGGGGATGAGACAAGCAAATGGGTATTCTTGGGGATTGCGAAAGGATTATGGGGGCCCTCAACCAGTGCTTGATTAGGGGTGCACGCAATCCCCCATTACTCATGCCGAAGTATAGACTTAAACGAGATTCTATAAGCTCAGAACCACGTCCGCGCAACTCTCAAACTTTTTCTTCGGATTGGTTTAAGCTGCACGCTCCAGGATGCATACAAGATGGTGGGGGACGATCCGTGCGGACCACAGCCTCCACAGTTTCTGTGCGAAGAAAAGTTGCAGTCCAAGATCACAGGTGGGGATATTATGCGGTCCTTTGCAACGAGTCCCGGACGAATGTCACCATCTATCAGAAGGCCACTGCTGAGCTGTTTTGTTTGGAATTGTAGAGTCACGCAGCCTTTGAAAACTAGGCGGGCATACTTGCGAAGCTCTGCATTAGCATCGGAAACAAGGTGTGAACACATGGGTAAAGCGAACTTGCGCGGCACACACCAGCATAAACTGTAACAGAGTATTCACTTCTTGCCTAGCGTAAACACGGACGAGGGATAAGGAAGCTTCGACTTGCCGGTAGGAATGATCGGATGGGAGATCCGCGGACCTCCGATGATCTTGTTGCTGAGATTCTTGTAGGACTTGGTACGATTCCATGCAATTTGTTAGTGGTGACAGTACTGCAAATGGCAAATGGAAGCCTCGACTTCAAGTAAGCAGCCGAGCTGACTGTCTGGAGTTCTGATACAGCAAGCACTTGATCATCCAAGCAAGTTTGAGACACCTTATTCATGTTGGACTCGGGTACTCGACAAGGAAGGTCGCTACCAAGTTTGGCTTTCTGTCTTGGAATCAGCTGCCGAAAGACTGCAGGCTCGTTTTGGGATCGGCGACATTTACTTTCTTTCGAGGCAGGCGTAGTTCTCCGATGGCTTTGACATCACTCACCTGCTACCGTCAGGTACTACGGGAAGACTGAGGTGGTTCAGGGAACCATCAAAAGGCTCAGTGAGAAGTCGGTTCATTTGGAGGATGGCACCAAGCTGGAGGATGTTCAGGCAGGATGTGTTCAACAATAAGCATGCTCTAGATACTAACAGCGAATCTTCACCGTGACTGGAGACGCAAGAATATACCCAGAGTGAGCATGACGGTCATAATGGTCGTGGCACACAGATCACAATGCCGAGTTGTCAACATCATCAGAATCCTGGTCCTGATCACAGCCATCATAGTCCTGAAAGATGATACGAGTAGTATGCACTCGCAATGAGCAAGGCTAAGAGCAATGGCAACAATCACAAGAATGTGGAGAGCCGCCGCCATAGTCCATCATAGTCGTAGCAAGCAGCGCCATCCTTACAACACTTCTTGAAAATGATGATTTTGGTCATGTGACATGGCTTCACCGTTGTCCTTCCAATCATGACAACCAGAAGAGCCGCACTTGTCACATCACTTGTCACGATGATTTTCCAGGCTGAAGACTGTCATTGAATTCACGGGTTCTTGGTTGTTCTTGATTTTTGATCATGACACGAACCAACAGCGCATGAAGCATAGTAGTCACGACGCGTCAGAACCATCATGCTAATGACCATGTGCGGCCATCAAGCATGGAATACGTGATAATGTGACATTTCATGCGCTTCCTCGCAAGAGCCGGGTTGTCATGTCTAAAGTATCGTGTTGTGGACGCCTGTGTCAGGCCTTGCCAAGTCACAATCGCCAACAGAACGATCAGAAAGATAATCGCAGCATAGGGGAACACTGCTCTCTCGCTGCTCCGTCATACTGGTCCATGACCATGCTGGTATTCCTTCAGCAGAGGCAGTACTTATGGTAAAGGCGCCAGTGGCAAGTAGTACAATGACAAGAACGGTTTATTTGCCGGAAGTATGCACGTGTGCCGCCGACGAAATTGTCTTCGAATGCTTGGTGGTCCGTGATAACTTTAGCACGTCTTCCACAACAGCGGCTAAAGCTTCAGAGTTCCCAAGCCGACAAGACCACCAGATTGCACCCGGTCAACAAAGGTGGTCGCGCCTGGTCGAATCTTCGAAGCGTGTATTCCTGTGAAGTCGGGTGTGCCGGCAACAGTAGCTTCGACAGCTGATCCAGCTCGCACTGTTTTTGAAGACGTAGTGTTCGAGGCAGCAATAGTGTAACAATGTCCGATCACGAATCATTGTGCCTAATTCCCGAAGTCAATCACTAGGTTTCATCGTGAAGGGCGACTGTTTAGAAACAGGCAGCACCAATGCAGAAGGTTCCTGACATTGTTGAACCATTTGGACATCTGTTTCTGTGGAGGCTGTTCTCAAGCTCTTTGGATTCGTGCCGGAATGGGCTGTGGACAAGTTCCTCCAGCTGAAGCACCTCTCGGGAATTTGGGCCTTTCACCCAGGATGACCAAGTACCCAAGTGTTTTTCTTTACAAGTCCGCTGAACATGTTTGATAACATCGGTTGGCGTCGCCTTGAAGTTGGCGACACAGGAAATGACAGCTTACACTGGCACGATGGCGCTGGTGTAGATCCGGCGTTTGTATGAAAACAACAGCGAACATGATCCAGCCGTAGGAGAAGCAGAAACGGTCGTAAAACCACAATCGCTGCTTCGAGCATCATCACTCTTCCCGTTCGAATTGGGGAAACAGATGCCCTGCGTTCTTCACCTGATGCATGCAGCTTCGAATGTCTGAAGATCAGAGCCAGAGCTGCATGTAAAACATGAACGACAGAGACAAGAAAAGCAACAACATTTCATTCACACGCAGCGGGAGGATACTGTCTGAGGTGAAACTTAACGTCCACGCTTTGCGAGGGATCGACCTGCTGCTCTGCTTGCTACTTGCGCGGTCACTTCATGACGAGCCGTGCCTTAACACAGCACTCGCACACGCTCCGCCCCTCAAGGCTGCAAGCAATGAAGTCGGAATCGGACGTGTCTTCAGTGACTCGAGCTGCAGACTCTGGCACTAATGAAGTAGTTAACCGGCTGATTTGCAATGTATCGCTGACTGATTGGCGACGTCCATTTTGCACACTGCTGTCTCGCGAGAGTGTCTAGCCTCGCTGTGAAGGCTCGGTACGAACCACTAGCTCTATGTTATAGTAGAGGCGGTGAGGCAATGAAACACTCAGTAAAGGCAGGCCAGGCGCCATTTCCAGCCCGTTGTTGCTATTTGTAGATGGCGGAGCAACTCCTGCCGGACTTGTGCTGGTGACATGAAGCTCTCCTGTCCCTGGATGGGAGATCGTTGAGGTCACAGCCTTTGGCGGTGGTCCCAGGGGAGAAACTCCTCCCGGGACTCCACCTTTCACTGGCACTCCAGGTGCCTTACCTGGGCCCGGTGTCCGATCTGTGCTAGATCCACTTCCTGACAGGTTAACAGGCATCGGAGGCGGCGGGCCCTTAGGCCCAGCTGCTTTAGGGGCTGCTTTAGGGGCTGCTGTGTCTTCGGAGTCGGACTCCCGAATGGCGTCACTGGCTGGCGGCGACCTGGATAGGTGGGGCCGACGTCGCACTGGAGGAGGGGTTCGGGAGGTCGCTCTGCTGCCACTCTTCTTCGGTGTTTCAGGCATGGCTTCTACAGTCGAGACAGCTGGTGAGTTGAGCCTGTACGAGAAGGCAAGTAGAGCTTCCAGAAAACTTTTGGCTGACAACTCACTTGCAGATCCGGGCCCACGACTGCGCACGGAGCTTCACATGCGACCTCGGGGTATACTTGCTGTCTGGTGATGAAATTGAAGTGACCTTCAGCCTCATAACATAGATTTTTGCGTGAGCAGCTGCATTATCAGTGTGGGGAGGGACTCCACCATTAGGTGAGGGTCCTCACGATCAGAGCGGCCTGTTGTCGCCTCCGTACTTAGTACCTGATTTCAGGCTCTGGTAGTACTCTATGACAGAAGGGGGCACTTCAGAAGGGGTGAGAATGACGCCGTTCTTGCTACGGAAAAATTGCACCCCTACCTGCATGGCTCTGCGTGGATCGACCGCTACCAGCATCGACGAGCTATCTCTGAATCCAGAAACACCAGGTCTCCCATAGTCCCGATCCGAGACGAAGTGAACATGCTGTCGTCCCTCTCTGCCACGTCCGCCTTTGCCGCGGCCCTTGGAAATCTTGTTCTGAGGCAGAAGGCCTCGTTGGCGTATGGAGTCATACAAGGACCAGAATGTGCCATGATACAGCATTCTGGGGAGCATCTCCTCCGTGAGTTCCTCCAACACCTCATTGGAGTCCACATCAGAGCGAGAATGTCCTTGCAGAGCCCTGATGTACTTCTGGCCTTGGCAATCGCCCAGCTCGTACCTGCCTTTTGCGTTACTCCGAACGACCTCCATGAGGTCGCCTGCCGTGGCGTGCTGGGCCTGCACTCTTGGCCATCTCAGGACGTGTCCGTGCCGGAGCGAAGCTGCTAGAGCCTTCGAGACTTCGAACGAGAAGCTGGTCTCCGGCTTCGTAGAGGCAGTGCAATAGTCCCCTAGATCGCCTGGTTGGCCCTCCCAGGCCACTATAGTGGAGCTACGTGGCGTTGTTGAGCTGTGGTCAATCTCTGACGCCATGGTCGGGGGAGAAACTCCACCCTGTGAGCTGGACGCCTGCTCACAAACCGGAAGGGGAGCAACTCCTCCTTCCTTGACTCCACTTGACGAGGCTTCGCCAGGCAGTTCGTATCCCAACGCCAAAAAGGATTCCCGTGCTTGTCTCAGTGGTATCTCCAACAAGCCACTCCACTCTCGGAGGTACTCACCTAAGGTGAGTGTCTCCTTGGTTGATATTTGCAGTAGCAGCGCTCGGATTTTGACTGCATCATAGGAGTATATCAGTTGGTTTGTTTTCTTACCACGTTTTTGCGATCCAGAGTGCGCAGCCTCCACCTCAAACATGGGCCGCACGAATATGTGCCGAGGTCCTATCCTCACCAGACAACTGTAACCGGCAGCAAGATGCCTGTTTGACATCTTGTGGAGATACACACCTGGTCGTGCCTCGAAGCTTCGCGTGCCGGAGAGGTCAGGTGTCGAAGGTAGTAGCCTGCCTGTGGCCAGTATCCCATGCAAACATTCCAGGTGTGTGCCGTGGAACGCAACCTCGCTGTCCCCTGCAGGAAGAATGTTCGGTGAAGAATACTCAAAACGAAACCACCCATTCTCCTCAGCTGTGGGATATCCAAGCTTCGGCTGCAGAGGCTCATTGGCAAGTCCCCGGCGAGAGGCCAGGAAGGTCTCCAGGAGAGCATTGGCTATCTCCGGGGAGGGTCGTTCCGCCTGATTGAGGCCATCTCGCAGCTGCTGAGTTACTGTCACCATAATTCGGTGATTGTTCAGGTCAGTGATGTTCCCATCACAGTCTGAAATCAGACTGGGAAAGGGCGTATAACCAGCTGACTGAAGAACTTTGATCGCAGCTTCCGTGATTGGGTCCCCCGAGGGAGGATCTCCACTCTTGGCCTTTGCTGCTGGGGGAGTATCTCCACCCTCGCTTTGCCCTGTACTTCTTTTCTTGGAAGGAGGAGGAGGGGGAGTGACTCCACCCTTTCCGCTTCCCAGCTCTTCCTGTCCACCAGTACCTTTAGAGACTCCTTTATATGCAGGATAGCTTTCGCCGTGAGCACGAGCGGAGCGCCTCCACTGGCGCAGGAAATTGCGATACGTGACATGCGGAAGTTGTTCACGTATCCGTCGCTGGCAGAATTCCTCGTACTCCGCTTGAAACGAGGGATCCTGTGTTGACTCAGGTCTGGACATGATGCTGAGTCTTGAGAGAAAGCTGCGGTTGTTGGCTCAAGCTGGCTTCTAAGCAGGCAGCTGGGCCTAGGCCACTGAGCTCCAGGCCACCACGAGGAGACCTGCATCACGGATGGTGGATTGCTGTTGGCTCAGTGTGGCTCAGTGCAGGCAGAATTATTGCAGGCAGCGACTCAAAGCTTTTAAAAAACCCCTAGGGAGAGACTCCACCAGCTGTACACCCCTCGTTGGGGGAGAAGCTCCACCAACTAGGGGAGAAGCTCCACCTGTGACTCTTTACTAGTTCAAAAACCCCTGGGGAGTAACTCCGCCAGCTCTACGCCTAACGAGGGAGAAACTCCTCTATGTTACAGGAGCTCTTGCTTAGGGAGCATCTCCTCTTCTCACTTGGCTCAGGAAGTGGCGGCCATGAGGTGATTGTAAGATACCTCCCACGTCGCCGAGGCCAGGTTAAGTCTGCCGTCTTCAGCAAAAAACTGAGACCTCAACGTCTGCACATCAGCTTGATAGGCCTCTTGGTACTCAGCAGGGAGATATTTGGCGATGTATCCCGTGATATGGGATTCTCGTTCCATTATCTCCAAGTCGTACCGGTGGTAACCGAGGCTTGCTGGGGAAATCAGGTCTCCAGCGTGGATGCGAACCAGAGAGAGGTACTGCATCCCCTGTTCGACCAGGGCTCTTCGTCTTCTGTGCCGGATTTGTCCCCATTCATCGATGCCCGAGATGGAGTGGAGGTGTGTGAGCACCTGTCGAATCCCACCTTCCGGGAGTATCTCCACGGCAAGGTTCAGGATCTCATCCTTAGTGATGAGCCCAAGCCCCTTCACTCTCTCTAGCAGCTCTGTGAGCACGGCCCAGGGGAGTATCTCCACACCTTGGGACTTCTGGTGCAGAAAGTGCACCGCTGCTATCGTCGGGAGCAGCATCATGGCCAGTCGAGTTGGCGTCTGATCATACATGGTCGAGGAGTTGAACCACAGTCTAATTGATTAGCTTTTGAGCCTGAAAGCTTCGTCATGGAGGAACATGTGCAGCAATTCAAGCGGTGCCAACATGAGTGCAGTGCTCCGCGGGAGGGCCTCCTCGCCATTCGTCGAAGACGCTTCAAGCTCCTCACGAGCATGAGCATGCTAGGGCAAGGAGCTAGGTGGGAGCAACTCCTCTTCGTAAGATTTGCTTCTACTGAGCTCTTGGTTCCAGTCCCGCCCACTCGTGGGGCAGAGCTGAAGAGATCTTATCCTCTGGAGAAGATCAGGAGAGCAAATCGCGAATCTGACGAACCAGCGGCGATGGCTGAGTTCCCAGTCGCTGAAAATCCGCGTTTATGAGCGAAAATGCAGTGTTGCCAATTAAGGACTGCAAGGTTTCCTGCAGTTCAGATGTGGCCGCCCTGGTTGACAGTTGGATCTGGATTCGGACCGGACCTCCCGTCATGCCTTCGGTCAATGGCCGCGAAGTTTTGAAGAGCTTGATGTGTTCCGGATCTGAGGAAATTCTAGTGATTGCGTCCCCCAGGCCTGAAACGACTTGAGCCGTGGTGAGAGGGTCTTCCACCGTCTCGATCATCTTCTGATCGGTGGGGCTCCACTCCAGGAACGGCCATTCGCCGTCCTGCGTCATCAGCTCATCGT